TTAACCATGTAGTTTCTTTCGTATGAGAAAAAAAAAAGTTATGTAGAATATCCCAGCTGTTCTTTTCCATACAATGAAACTGGATGGGAAACAGAGGCTGTCAAACTCCAAAAGGGATTAAAACATCATAAATATGACTTGAGTGCCTAATATTCTAGATTTTTGAAAACTTTGTAAGAGGAACAGACTGAATTTAAGTCAGTAACCCTTTAAAATCTTGCAAATGTCGTGGCCATTCACTTTCATTGTACGGAATTGAGCAATTTGGACATTCAACTATGAATGTCTCTTTGTGTTCAAAGAAAGAAAGTCAAATAAGGTTGCTAAATGACAGAATTTAGAATTTTGGTTGAACTGTTACTTTAAGAACAGTCTTTGTTGGCGTATTTTGTTGAGTAAAGGCCTGTTCACACGGAGACATTTATTTGGTGCAAAAAAATCAGCATAAACATTTTAATTTTAATAAATTGTTGTTCATGTTCTGTTCAGAATTGATATAGATATGTTGTAATCTCTTTTCCATTGCACTCTGAAGAAAACTGGCCAGTGTTGACTTTTTTCTAAGCAGATTTTTGTAAAAAGTATTTTTTTAAAGTATATTATTTATTATATAGTTAATATGGAATTTATTCATTATTATATAAAAAATATTATTATTTATTTCGCGATACACGCTTTGAAGTCCCAATCTGAATCGAATTATTCTCGATACACACTTTGAAGTCTCAATCTGAATCAAATGATTCGCGATACGCGATCCGATTGGAGCGCTTCGAAACAGTGAATAATTTCGATTGGAGCGCTTCGAAACGGTGAATAATTTCGATTGGAGCGCTTCGAAACGGTGAATAATTTCGATTGGAGCGCTTCGAAACATTGAATCATTTTGCGACGAAATGGTTTAACTGATTCGGAGTTTCCAAAAGCTCCGTTGTGTTCTTTGCTCGCTTTCTCTATATAATGTATTAATTGTTTGAATAACCGTGGAAATGAAATCATTACAATTAATAGGCCTAACGTACAATGTTTTTATTAAACTGTGATCACGTTAAATAGCCTACAGTTTCCGTAGTATTAAAACCTTTCATAAAAGGTTTTCAAAAGCATCCCCCCCTCTGTTTTTTTCACAAATCGCACCCCATATATATACACACACACACACATTTTTACTTTTTTAAATAAAATATTTTAAATACATTTTTAATAGTTATTTATATTATATTATTTTATATTATATATATATAATTTATATTTTGTATTAATATATTATTTTATATTTTATATAGTTTATGTAATTGTGCAATAACTGTGCAATAGCTCAAAATATATTACAAGTTAATATACAATGCATGTATATACAGCAATATAATGTAATGTTTATTTACATGCTTTGATGCAATGCAAATATTTGAGTGACTCGGTTATTGATTTCACGTATGTGACCCTGGACCACAAAACCAGTCTTTAGTGTCAATTTTTCAAAATTGATGTATTGTTTGTTAGGATAGGACAATATTTGGTCGAGAATGTGTGTGTGTGTGTGTGTGTGTGTGTATATATATATACATACATACATAATAAATGCATATTGAATACACACAAAAGCACACAAACCTTATATACATTATTTATCTATCTATATATATATATATATACTGTATGTGTGTGTGTGTGTGTGTTAACTGTATATATGTGTATATATATATATATATATAATAGAATTTAATAAATTTTCCCTTTGAATTTTTCTATGTTAGGTTTTTATTTTAATTTTAAGTTTTAGTTTTTGCTATGTGGATTTTTAAAATACAATAGTAACACTTTACAAAAAGGTTCCATTGGTTTACTATATTTTATGCATTAACTAACAATAAATAATACATTTGTTACAGTATGTATTAATCTTAGTACTGTCATGACAACTCTCTGAGAGATTGGCATGGTAATGCACATAATGTTAATGTATTTGGTCTTGGCGGAATAGATCTGCTATGCTGCTGCTGCTGCGGCAAGTACCGAGACTTGCTGCTGCAAATATAACATACATGAAATAACCCCCATATAGCATACATGAATCACCTCTTAGCAGATCAATACAGGTGGAGCTGGGGAAGGTGGAGGGTTTCTGAAGCAAGCTGCAACTGCTACGGCAAGCACTAGTCATATATTTGAATGTTGAGCAGCGAGCTCATTGGCTACCGATACAGGAGAGAACCAGTCAGCTGTCCCATGTGATAATGATGTCATTAGGTCAGATTGAGTTAGACCTATCGGACTGCGCCATCTAGAGTTTCATGCCAGAACTCTGTATTTAACATTAATTAATAAAATTGTTAATAAATTAATAAAACTGTTCATTGTTAAGCTCAGGTCCATTAAATAACATTAATAGATAAAACATTTGATTTTAATAATGTATTAATAAACATTAACTAAGATGCTTTAGAACTATTTGTATTGTTAGTTTATGTTAACTAATGATAACAAATGGAACCTTATTGTAAAGTGTAGCCTAAAATACTTCTACATAATTTAAATAATACATATCATTTAAAATACTTTAATTTATTAATGACTTAATTAATGAGGCTTTTTTCTTCTTCGGGGCAGTTGTGCATTTGTGTGTCTATGCCTTCCAAAAATATCGAAATAAATCATACAACAGAATATGCTTGAAGTGCGTGTATGTATGAATTGAATTTTGAATATATTTCTGAATAAATGAATAGTTAAGCATCATGTCACTGACCCAACACTATGCACTAAATGCACTCGTGCAATTAATACCAATTGTATCTCAATTAAGTTTGAGTCCAAACCTTTGATCCTCATTGCACATTCTCGACTGCACGTTTAATCAAACACGTCTATATTCAAAAGCCAGAATCTAATTTGAAATGATCACATTTTATTAATGAGCTTCATATTGCATTAGTTGCCATAATCAGCATGTGTGTGGCGTGCTGTAATAATGACATTAGAGACCTCTGCTGTTCTTTGTTAGTCGATTAATCCGCTATTTGTCACCATTGTTTTACGCGGCTCGGGAAAGTAAATGTTGTTGACACACGGCTGTAGTTTTTGTCTCGGCAGGTGCGGTGATTCACTCTCGCTGTGTCTCTCGGCAACGGTGCGCTGCGGTTCTGTCTCTCCCCACCGAGTGTGTTTAATTAGTCGCCGATCTCGGTTGTCAGTGTTGCGGCGGGCGAGTTGTTGACTCCCGTGGCGCTGTGCCGGCGGAGGAATTCACAGCGAGCAAACATGTTCTGAGGTGTTCTCATTGGGCGAGGGAGGAGATATTGAGATGTGAGCCCTGAGGGAGGCTCCCATACAGAGGAACAATGCTCGATGAGCTGCAGACATGGGTCAGGGATCCATGACTGCAGTGTGAACACATATCCTGCATTCCTGTAGAGCAGTGGTTCCCAAACCTGTCCTGGAGGACCCCCTGCCCTGCACATTTTGTATGTCTCCCTAATCGGACACACCCAATTTAGTTCTTGCAGTCTCTACTAATGAGCTGATGAGTGGAATCAGGTGTGTTAGATAAGGGAGACATACAAAAGGTGCAGGACAGGTTTGGGAAGCACTGAGGTTTAGTGCACGAGAAACATGTTTCTGTGAAATAGAATGGATGGGGTTGGAAAGGTTAGATCATGTGTTGGGCCCACCTACACTTGTAAAAAAAAAAAAAAAAGATTAAGATTAAAGAAAATATTATAACCTCTATTTCATGTCTTCTTTTTTTTCGGACAATGTTTTCTAACAAATTTAAGATTTCATTTTTAACCAGGATTCAAAAATTAATTTACAATGCAATTTTTGAGAATCAATGCAACATTTACAATGCAACATATATTTACAATGCAATTCATGCAATATCACTTCTGTATTTTAGAAAAAAAATATTTGATTAAAATTTTGTATTTTTTAATCAGGACCTATTTATTTATTCAAAAATACTTTTACAATGCAATTCATGCAACTAGTGGTTATACCATGATGAATGTGTTTAATTTAATATGTTGGGAAGCATGTGAATGTGATACAACCTGATTTCATAATGAATTTAAAAAAAAGTCTCATTTGCATTTTTTAAAAGAATAAACATTTGTTATTTCTTTGAAAAAGGGAGAGAAGCAATTTTTGTTGTTATTCAAATATTATTACATTTTTCTAAAATGTTTGTCCTCCAAATTAAAGTTATGCGCAACCAGAATGCAAAAAGTGCATGCAGGAAAAAAAAAAATTATAATTATATCATTATGACTGTATCAAGGTGTAATTTGATAATTTGGTATTTTTTATATAATAAAAAAACATGATAACATGGTATTAATAATTTGTGATTTTTGTACAAAAAAGCCAATAAAAAAACGTGAACACAAATTATTATTTTTTTAATAATTATTAATATGTGCACACTTTCGTGCATTAATATAAAGGAAAATATAGCTTTTTTTTACTAGGTTACATCATGTTTTATGTGTAATTTAAGTTGAAAAAGTTTTGAAAAACCATAAGAAACCAACATGAATACAAAGATTACATTTCTAAAAAATGTGCACATTTTCATTCATTTTAATGTACAGCTCAATTGTAGTAAAGGCTTATTTTTTGTCTTTGATTATATTTAAAATAGTGTCTTCTCTTTCTCATTTTGTTCTGTCTGCTTTAATTTTTTAATTAATATATTTATTGTTTATTTGTATTGAAATAATGATAATGAATTCAATCATATAAATTGCACATCGCATCTCCATGTACTTTATTATTATTTATTTATTTACAGCCATTCTGCACATTTGTGTGAATCCATGAATATGAAAAATAATAACTGTGGTCTAACTTTCACTTGAAACTTTTTTTTCACATTCCACAGTACTTTAGACATTTACACTTTTTCATGTTATGCATTGTTTCAGAATGTGCTACACTGCCTCAAACAAATGCCGAGTCCCTTTGATCTCTTTCTGTCTTTGGCTGTTCCACTCTCTCAGGTTTACATTCCCTGCAGAACCGCTATTGTTCTGGCCAACGAGGAAATCGATTACTGCTACTGAAACACAATCAGCGATTCACCGCCAGATGGAAACCCAGCACACTTCTGTGACTCAACCCACCTCCATCCACAGCGTGTTTGCCATCATCCTTTAGAAAGCCCACGTTTTCCCGAGAATTGAGTACAAGATGTTATGAATACCTTCTATCCCATTTCTGTTCGAGTCATTTTTTCTCTCATTGTTCACAGATTATTGATTATCAAGAATTAGTTTCTCAATATCCCACTGCCCAACTGAGCTAAAGTCTGATTGTCAAACCCTGTTATGTTAAAATTCTAACAAAACTTCATTCAAATGGTTAGATCATTGCCAGATCTTAATTACTACTGAAATTGCTATTCAACTGTGAATAATGTTAAAGTAAATAAGGTAACACTTTACTTGAAGGGGTGTGCATAAGACTGACATGACACCTTCATAATCATGACATGACACCTTCATAATCATGACATGACACATGTCATGAATATGAAGGAGGTTTTATGCATGTTTATGACAACTGTTATTAAGTGTCATTCGCTCAGTTATGTCATTTTTAATGCAAATATGACATTATTTGACCTAACCCTAACCTAACCCTACCCCTACCCTTACCCCTAACCATAGCCCATAACAAAGACATCTCAAACAATGTCATCTTTGCATTAAAAATGACATAACTGAGCGAATGACACTTAATGACAGTTGTCATAAACATGCATAAAAAACCTTCATATTCATGACATGTGTCATGTTATGATTATGTAGGTGTCATGTCATGATTATGAAGGTCTTATGCACACCCCTTCAAGTAAAGTGTAACCGTAAATAATCACTTGGATTGTGGTCAGCACTGTATTTATAATACCGTAATTGTGAAAAGTAAATATAATTACTTTACATAAGTTTGATTTGTCTGCTATTTAATTTGACACAAGCACTTTTTGACATTCTGTGTCAGTGATTTCAGTTCTGTATAAATATGTATGTGCACCAAGTATTAATTCATCAATTCAAGTTAATCATGTTATGCATTGTTTCAGAATGTGCTACACTGCCTCAAACAAATGCCGAGTCCCTTTGATCTCTTTCTGTCTTTGGCTGTTCCACTCTCTCAGGTTTACATTCCCTGCAGAACCGCTATTGTTCTGGCCAACGAGGAAATCGATTAGTGCTACTGAAACACAATCAGCGATTCACCGCCAGATGGAAACCCAGCACACTTCTGTGACTCAACCCACCTCCATCCACAGCGTGTTTGCCATCATCCTTTAGAAAGCCCACGTTTTCCCGAGAATTGAGTACAAGATGTTATGAATACCTTCTGTTCCATTTCTCTCATTGTTCACAGATTATTGATTATCAAGAATTAGTTTCTCAATATCCCACTGCCCAACTGAGCTAAAGTCTGATTGTCAAACCCTGTTATGTTAAAATTCAAACAAAACTTCATTCAAATGGTTAGATCATTGCCAGATCTTAATTACTACTGAAATTGCTATTCAACTGTGAATAATGTTAAAGTAAATAATCACTTGGATTGTGGTCAGCACTGTATTTATAATACCGTAATTGTGAAAAGTAAATATAATTACTTTACATAAGTTTGATTTGTCTGCTATTTAATTTGACACGAGCACTTTTTGACATTCTGTGTCAGTGATTTCAGTTCTGTATAAATATGTATGTGCACCAAGTATTAATTCATCAATTCAAGTTAAAAAAAAAATTGTTTGAGAACGACGTATTGATTACATGTCAGTTCAGTGCTGAGCTCTTGAATTATATAGTTTTTAATACATGAACTCTGTGCAAAGCCATAAAATCTAAGCTATATTTTTTCTGACAGGCTGTTATTTCGGTGCCTTTAAAACTTTTCAGTCATAACCAGCTTTTGATGAATATTAATTTGACTAAATTAGATTTGTTTTTTGTATTCATTTATAATATACAATCTGAGATAATAAAACTTGTGCTAATAATAAATATGAATTAATTTTCAGACAGTCGTGTCGCTCAGAGAATGTGCTAATTCACTGCCCGACATGCATGTAAACATCTTTTATAATGTACTTTCTTTTTTTGTAGCCCTGATCGAGATCCAGAATTAAGTCTGTGTTTGAAAATATATGAAACTCATTATTGTAATCTTAAAGGTGCTCTCCTCAAGGTGTCATTGGACATCTTCTTGTTTTGTGGTTCTGGTTGGAAGAAATCTAAATTTGCCCTCAATGAATTTGATGCTCTCATAGATGTACAGTAATTGGTAGCATAGGGCATGTCAAAACTTCTCCAGGGCCCCAAAACACCCTCGGACCCCAGAGGGTTAAACACTGTGCCATTTGTGGGTGAAAGCCATACTAAACTGAAATAAAGCACTGCTGAAAGAAAGACTGTGCTTGTTCTTTGCTCTTCTGGAACCAAACCGTTTTCAAAAGTAAAATTACATTCATTTAAAAAATTTTTTTTTTAGCATTTTAGCTTGCTTTTACCATGGAAACAAGCTGAAAAATTAACCACCCATATGACATAATTGAGTCCCTTTACGATACACTAGTCAATTATAGTTTTATATTGTACCATTATTGTTGATTTAGTTACAGCAATTTTGTTCTTGCTTTGAATCAACTGGGATTTGTCTCTTGAAGCTGGTTGGTTTGGCTTAAAATTCTTAACTGAAGATTTGTTTTTTTTATGTATATGGATATGGAAAGTAAATGTTATTTACTTAATGACATTATTTTTCATATATATATATATGGTGGTGTATGAATATGTACTATCTCATTGATTTTATTTGATCTGCTTACACTCCAGTGACAGTTATATTTAGGGATGGACCTTCATGTGTATTTTCATACTAACAATTGTGCATTTTCGTACACATTTTAAGAATTCATTCAAAATCACCACACCTCATTAAATAGTTAAATTTTCCTGTGAGATTGAGCTGAACAAACAATACTCCACAGGTGCCATGCAGTGTGATATGATGAGGTGTATCTCATTGCAGGTGTGACTATATCATAGATTTTATCATGACTGAATCGCTGTATTGACCAATCAGACACCTGGACCGGAACTCGCTCTTAAGATGTATGCAACTCATAGTGCTTCTAGGGTAGATATTTCCCTGTTAGTCAGGATGTATGTGCTTTCACGGCCATTGATCGCAGGCAAATTTGCACTGAGAGCTTGTCGGGTTTAATGCAGTGATTGTATAAAGAGATGTTTAAAAAGGCTTTGTCAGTGACAGTGACATCTTTATCACCGAGATTAACAGATCAAGTCTCTAAAGTGCTCGAAAACCGACAACAAACCACATCCTCATGCATTGATATTCAAGGTCCCTGATAGCTTCCCTGACTCCCATTAAAGTGTTATGTAACTCACCAGAGCATGTTTATTTTGAATAATATTTCTTGTGGTAATCTATAGAAACCTGTTTCTACCTCTGAGTGAAAAATGGTTAGAAAAAAAGGTTGCAGTTGGTAGAAAAATGACTTTACAAGATATGTTCACATTGTGAGATATAAATTCCTAATTATGAGAAATAAAAAGTTGCAGTTGTGAAGTATAAATCATGTTGCAAGATATCATCGCAATGAGGGATATTAGGCCCCGATGGAAAATCTGAGATATAGTGACATTGCAAGAAAAAAAATCACATTGTGATATATAAAGTCCCAAATACGAGAAACAAAGTCTCACTGAAGTCTAAATTATGAAATATATAGTCACATAACAGATATAAGGCCACACTGTGAAATAAAAACAAAAAGTCTTAATTGTGAGATATAAAATATGCAGCAATGAGAAACAGTCACAATTGTGGAATATAAAGTCAAACAGAGATAACAATGTTCACAAGAAACAACGTATAACAATTTTGCAATAACATTTGCAAAATATAAAGTCACAATTGTGAAATATAAAGTCACACTGAGTGAAAGGTTCAACTGTGAGATAAAATGAGAAACCAAGTCACATTGCGAGAGATAAAGTCATACTGAGCGATAAAAAGTCTCAACTATGAGATAAAAATAAATCTGAGAAACAAAGCTGCAATTGTGAAATAGTCACATGGCGAGATACACTGTAAAATCAGTGAGATATAAATTCTTAATTACAAGAAACAAAATTGTAATGTGAGATATAAAAAGCAAATAATGAGAAACAAAGTATCAATTATGAGATAAAATCACAAATATGAGAAACAAAGGCGCAATAGCAAAATAGTCACATTTAGAGATATAAAGCCAAACTGAGAGATCAAGACTCAATTACAAAAAACAAAGTCACAAAATTAGATATAAAAATGCAAATGCGAGAAAAAAAGTAGCAATTGCAAAATATAGTCACATTTTGAGATACTGTATAAAGCCACACTGCGAGATAAAAAGTCTCAATTGTGAGATATAAAAATGCAATTATGAGAAACAAAGTCACAATTGTGGAATATAAAGTCAAACTGAGAGATAATTCTCACAAAAAACAAATATGAGAAACAAAGTAGATCATTTTGCAAAAACATTTGCAAAATATAAAGTCACATTCAGAGAGAGCCACACAATGAGATAAAAATTCTCAATTACAAGAAATAAAGTCTCAATCGTGATATAAAAAATGCCAAAATTAGAAACATCACAATTGTGAAATATAAAGTTACATTGTGAGGTATGAAGTCACACTGAGTGAAAAGTTCAACTGTGAGATAAAAATGAAAAACAATGTCACAATACGAGAGATAAAGTCACACTGAACGATAAAAAGTCTCAACTGTGAGATAAAAACACAAATCTGAGAAACAAAGACACAATTACAAAATATAATCACACTGTAAAACCAGTGAGAGATTAAAATTTTCAATTACAAGAAACAAAATTGCAATGTGAGATAAAAAGCAAATAATATGAAACAAAGTATCAATTATGAGATAAAATCACAAATATGAGAACCAAATATGCAATTACGAAATATAATCACATGGTGTACTGTACACTGTAAAATAAGTGAGAGATAAAAATGTTCAATTACAAGAAACTAAATTGCAATGTGAGATAAAAAGCAAATGAGAAACAAAGTATCAATTATGAGATAAAATCACAAATATGAGAAACAAAGGCGCAATAGCAAAATAGTCACATTTAGAGATATAAAACCACACTGAGAGATCAAGACTCAATTACAAGAAACAAAGTCACAAAATGAGAGATAAAAATGTAAATATGAGAAACAAAGTAGCAATTGAAAAATATAAAGTCACATTGTGAGATATAAGGTCACATTGAGAGATAAAAATACTTAATTATGAGAAACAAAGTCACGATGTAAGATAAAAATGCAAATACAACAAAGTCACATTGCAAATCAAAGTCATACTGAGAATAAGTCAACTACAAGAAACAAACTCACAATTTTGATACATACAGTTACAATAAT